GCTCAACAATATACAATATACCCTTTTTATCAACATAGATGCCATATGGTGAGTGGAGTTGGTTTTCTGCTGTGCCAAAACCATTACCGCCGGCTACCTGTTACAAAAGAAAATAAGCTAAAGCATGATCTTCAGTGTGTTAATGAACAAACCCGTCGACCACTTGTTGCGTTTCCAGCACTCCAGATAACGACGCGATGATTTCCATAATCTGATACGTATATATTTGACTGAGCATCGACGTAAATTCCATAACAGGTTGATATTTGATTGGGAGCTGATCCAGATCCAAATCCGCCAGCTACGATAATTCCATGAGGTTCTCCCATCCGCCATTTAAGAATACGATTATTTCCATTATCAGCGATGTACATGATGTCATCGGGTGTGATAAAAAGCGCTGTAGGACTGCGAAGCTCAGATAAAGACATACCACTAGAGGTTGAGATTCCAGCTACAGTTATACTTGTATTTAGACCTAGATTCGAGGAAGATAATGAATGCATATACTCAGTAACGAGTATGACCTACTTGGGGAGAGTCGTTGTACTGCATGATTGAATTCATCTACTATATACATGTTTTGTCGACTATCGAAAATTATATGGGTCGGCTGAGAGAGCTGTGTGGCATTCGAGTACTTAATTCCAGTTCCAGTCAGTACTGTAAAATTGGAACTCCAAATCGCTGTTCGACACACTTGATTAATAGGTTTGGCTAAATAGAAAAAATTATGCCATGATACTGTATGGGACACAGATAGTTCGGTTGATTACATACGTGGAGGTACTGGTGTTGTTGTTGGTATTGCTGCTGGAAATGATGGAAAAACGGAATTGATAGAAAAACTGGTACTGAATTAATGTTGAATCATGACTGAAAACGCCCTTTTTTGTTGAAGCATTAGGAAGGGCTAAGTGAAGATGAGCGTACAAAAGGCGATAACATGTTTCACTATTGGATTGGTGGCGCAATTTTGAATAACATGTATAATGTTATATCTTGCGGACAAAAAGTTTTTGAAAGATGGAATTCGGGAAATGAATTCAACATTTATACAAGGAGAACGACTGAGAAATTATGCAGATATTGAAGTTTGTAATGAGGAATACGATGTTTTCAAGGGTAACTGAAAAAGGGAAAGATAAAATATGTTCCGTTGCCACATTTGATGAAGCTCTCATTTCTGCTCATTCTGGTAAGGAAGCTTTTTATTTCGTCAAGAAATGACAATATCAGTTTCTCAATGCTAGGAATCTCTAGCTGCTATGATCGGTAAAACAGATATATTCATGAGTATGTTCTCCTCCGCGCCCTCACGGTTTGCTCAAATTGGAGTGTTATTTGACGGAAACCAACAATAAAAGGAGTTCAATAAAGTGTGTGAAAGGAAAAGATCTCGTGTAGATAATATTGCTTCTTGTAATGTTATGCATGATCGATGATACGCAAAGGCGCTATTTCTCATTAGCTTTCATTTGCTTTGAAATCCGTTTTTGATTCTTTTTACAATCCCAGTTTTGCCCACGTGGAGCAACACTTTTATGCATCCTCTATATCTAATACTGTAGTACTTTATATGACGTGTGTTCGTTGAACAGGTAATCACCCCTTCCGATTTTGATGACATTACGATATTTGACAAATACTTTGTCGAGAACTTTTACTATCAGCTTTCACTCCCTTGCTCTCGAACCAACCCGCGAAGTTTATATATATATATATTAATGCTCCCTAGACTGAAAAGCTAGGGTCTAGAAACAGAAATTCACCTGTGTCTATCTGTCTGTCTGTTTGTCTGTCCGTAGCGCTTCGTACAAATGACCATACTCATACTACAAAGTACCATGATCATCGTACAAAGTACCACAGTCATAGTACAAATGGCTATAGTCATAGTACAAAGTACGACAGTCATTGTACAAATGACCACAGCCATAGTACAAAGCACCACAATCATCGTAAAAAGTACCATGATCATCGTACAAAGTACCACAGTCATAGTACAAATGGCTATAGTCATAGTACAAAGTACGACAGTCATTGTACAAATGACCATAGCCATAGTACAAAGCACCACAATCATCGTAAAATGTACCATGATCATCGTACAAGTGACTATAGCCATAGTACTAAGTGCCATGGTGATAGTACAAAGCACCACAGGCATCGTACAAAGTACCACAGTCATTGTACAAATGGCTATAGCCATAGTACTTTGTACCACAGTCATGGTACAAATGACTATAGCCATAGTAAAAAGTACGACAGGCATTGTACAAATGAGTATCACCATAGTACTAAGTGCCACGGTGATAGTACAAAGCACCACAGTCATCGTACAAAGTACCACAGTTATTGTACAAATGACCATAGGCATAGTACAAAGCACCGTGGTCATAGTACAAATGACTAGCCTCTTAGTACAAAGTACGACAGTCATTGTAAAAATGACCATAGTCATCGTACAAAGTACCATGATCATCGTACAAAGTACCACAGTCATGGTAGAAATGACTATAGTCATAGTACAATATACGACTGTCGTGGCATACATGATGATAGTTATCGTATTTTGAAACATGAAGGCGGTCATTTTGATACAGTAACTGTGATACATTGGACTACGAATAGGGCCGCTTGTGTCATGACTACAGTGCTTTGTGGCATGGGTATGGGTTTTCTTCTACATTTCTTGTAAGAATATCTATATTAAAAGAAGAATATTTCACATTGATGATATAGGCGACTATTAAAAGTTGAAACGGCCAAAATCTTGATATAATTGGTAGTATTAGTCAGCATCTACTGAGATTTATCTTTGTGGGATTAATTTGGAGTTTTCGATAAGTCCATAAGTATCGTGGGATAGATCTGACTTTCCTAAGGTGTGGGTGTGGAAAAGAGTGAAACTTAGCAAAGATTAATGATGATGGTGAGAGTGAGAGTGTGGTAGGGGTGCTGGAAAATAACATCAGAATGAAAGAACACTGTTGAAATACGCAAGTCCTGTAGAAGAATGAATCCTGAAAAAATAAGTTCCGATAACCTGTTGTTTTCTAGGTTCTAGAGTCAGACAGAGGCTAGCAATCTTCCATTTCTACGGTCGTATATCAGTCTAGGGTTAAGCTAATCGACACTCGATTAGCGTTACTTGTTTATTATGTATTGTCTTATTTCTAGTGTTTTCATCAAGAATCGTTAAGCACTTACTCTGATTCTTCCTCTCACGATATCAGTATCAATGGTTTCTGTAGGTGTTATAGAATTATACAACTTACAAGCATGTTTAAATAATCTAGGAAAACTCTACTGAAATTATTCAGATCACGTTTTCCGGATCGCCCTCATGGACCTATCTATGATACTTCAATCCGTTCATTGTCTTTCGTTCGTACCGTTTGGCCTAATAGGCGTATTCTCTTTATCCACTAGAAAATTGTTTTGGGCTGAAAAAATTAATTTCTTAGCATTACTATTCGCTGCAAAACGGCTAACATACGTATAAGAAAGTGAAAGCGTTCACTCAGCTTTCTTAAAAATCCGATCACCAATTCAATAAAGTTTGTAATCGTGAAATGAGAGTTAGACCCGACATAAAATTTGATGGTGATTATCACGTATACTTTCTTGGTCCGCTAAACAACTTAAAAAAACGAATCCTGCGTTGGATTTTAATCAGACACATATTATTATCACTGCACGTTTATTTATATCCTCGAAGAGATGATATTTAGGTCTAATTTCAATCTACTGACTTCCTCAAAGAGAATGATATAACATTTATGAGATAGAAGCTTATCTTTCATAAGTAGTATTCAGTATTTCGATCAATATCATCACCATCAGTGATGACATTTTTCTATCTCTGTTGTTTTCTGCCTTGCTTATAAATATGGCTCACTTAATTTAAAATCTATATCATCGCTGAACCACGCCATATATTTTACACTCTTGCTGATTTTCAACCAAAATATCTGAGATTATATGGGGAGACGCGCATTCGAGCTCTCACATCTGATCATTTTTAAGCCAAGGATTTGCAACACTGCTTGCTCAAAGATAGTTATCTATCTCTTCCGTCTTCTCTTTCCATGTTAACGAACCCGTTCGCACAGAACACAATGTACCGTTATTCTAACTGTTTCTCTTCTTCAGCAAAATTTCCTTTGTCAGCCGGTTGCTCTATACTTCGCATCGATTCAAACATTGAAAAGAGGTTCTGCAGCTTACAAAGCGAACTCATGATGCATTAGTCATCAAAAATGTGTTTGTCGTTTCCGTCTACACACTGTCTCATATTAGTTTCATCAAGTAAATCCCTAAATCGCAATGCGAACTGACTATATCCGGTTCAGCCACTAAAACGTGATTCAACATCTCTATCACTTCAGCTCAGTAGTTGAAAGACACTACATATCACAATATAAATATCCACGGTACACCAGCGGCTGACTTCCAATTTCATACTACATATTACATGCCTTTTAATTTTGCTCTACTTTCAATACAGATTCCTGCTGCTATTACACACCTGAGAAATTACTCAAAATAATATATTGTCTCCTCAATCTATTCCCCTCCACGACTACAATTGAGTGTTTATCCAGCACATTTGGCCAATAACTCACAGCAGCTAATTGGAAATGAAATAATGCGATGATTATTTGTATCAGCCACCACAATGTTTCCTTCAAGACTGAATTGCATCCCATAAGGATTCTTCATTGATGCTATAGATCCCACAGGTACCCCATACGTCCAACCGTGTGTCCATTTCAAAATTCTGTTATTTCCCGTGTCCAAAATAAACATGTTCTCATGCCGATCGAGCAGGATAGTTGTGGGCTTATTTAATTGATACTGCCAAGGACCAGGCCCATCGCTCAATGCTCCAGCCACGGTCAAACCAGAAGAAGCATCTATATATCAGCCACAAGTGAAAATCTACAATTCTTTATGACCTCTCCTACTTCTAGTCCACATTTGAATTCGATGATTGTTTGAGTCAGCAATGTATATCGTACCGTTCTTTGTTACTTGAATACCCCACGGATAACTAAGTTGATTGGATCTTTTACCCATACCATTGCCTCCAGCCACCTAATATTCAATCAAAAAGAAACATCAGGTGACATTATCATACGTCAAGACAACATACCACTATACCAACTGATGTATCATTTTTCATCCAAAGCATCACACGATGGTTGCTGTGATCAGATACATATACATTGTGTTCATCATCAACATGCAAACCATAGCTAAACGATATATTTTGAGAAGTATTACCCACACGGTATCTGCCAGCTACTGGAAATCCCAGTGGTTCTCCATATTTCCACTTTTGTACTCTGAAGTTACCAGCATCGAGAATGAACAAAGTTTGGTCTCCAGTGACAAATACAGTAGTTGGAGTATTGAGTTCGCTTTTCCCTTTGCCAGCTCTAAGTCGAATGCCGGCAATATTTGTTCCACTCTTCGATCCTTCAACATAGTAATAGAAACGTTTGTTTTCGAATACAAGAATCTTACCAGGTGAAAAGCGAATTATTCTATGATTGTTTCCGTCAGCTACGTAAACATTATCGTAGTTGTCGACGAAAATATTGTGCGGACTATTAAGATGCAACGTCGAAGTACTGGAGGAGCCGCTTATACCAGCTATTGTAGAATAGTTACCGTCCCATATAGCGTGTGAACAAGTTTCATTCAATGCTTGAACTACTGAGAAAGAACAAAATTCCACAAATATGAGGATTGATGAGATCTGAACTTACTCGGCGGTGGTGTAGTTGTAGTTGTCAATGCAGCTAAAATAAAAGTATTCTGATTAGCCACTACTATTTACAACTACCATTAGTGTTGCGAAATTGATGGTGCAGTGAAAACTGATATGCCCTTGAAATGTTCGAAAAAATATTATTCTCCAGTGGTAATACATCTCAGAGTGATTTCAGAAAACTGTTGAAAGAATTAGCTGCTATTGCACGAATGGATACAAAGTTATACATACGGCAAAGCATCGAAAAGGAAACAATTTGATTCAGCAACAGGTTTACACCGGTTCCATTGATCTTGCGATCTGCTACAACCAGACTCCCATAAGTGTCAAAGCTCATTCCTCTTGGATCGGTGAAACCGGTTAGGAGTGCCACAGTGATGCCATATGTTGATTCAGGTGCCCATTTCTGAATTCGTTTGTTACCCGTGTCCAAAATGAACATGTTATCGAATTGATCGAACATTACAACAGTCGGATGGTTCAACTCATATGACCATGAACCTGCTAGTCCAGATTCTCCGGCAATGGTCACACCGGATGTTGCATCTAAACACAGTTCGAACGAAATACAATAATAATAAACAAATCTTACCTGGTAGCCAACGTGACACTCGATGATTTCCTTGCTCAACAATATACAATATACCCTTTTTATCAACATAGATGCCATATGGTGAGTGGAGTTGGTTTTCTGCTGTGCCAAAACCATTACCGCCGGCTACCTGTTACAAAAGAAAATAAGCTAACGTTTTTCTCTATGATGCACGTGAGCAAACCAATCGGCCATTGGTTGTGTTTCTTCCATCCCAGATAACGACGCGATGATTTCCATAGTCTGAGACATATAAGTTTGATTGTGCATCGACATAGATTCCGAAACATTGTGAAATCTGATTGAGAGGTACCCTACTTCCGTTCGCCCCATTGGCGATACGTCCTTGATTTTGCCCTATCGACCATTTAAGAATACGTTTATTTCCATTGTCAGCGATGTACATGATGTCGTTGTGTGTGATAAAAAGCGCTGTGGGATTGTAAAGCTGAGATAAAGAGTTCCCACCGAAACGTGAAAGTCCAGCAATAGTGATGCTTGTTTTAGAATCTACAATTGAGGAATAGAGCAAATGAATTTACATATTCTTGATTCGAACGTACTTTTGTTAAATCGTTGTACTGCATGATTGAATTCATCTACTATATACATATTTTCTCGAGCATCGAAAGCTACATAGAGCGGAGAGGATAATGGTGTTGAATTAGCGAAATTGGTGCCAGTTCCAGCTAGCACTCTAAAGTTCGAGGTCCAGATCGCAGTTTGGCATACGTGGTTAGTTGGTTTCGCTATAAAAAAAAGTCTTAACTGCTCAGAATAAGTATATGACTGTAACTGAATGGCATATTGTTTTAAAAAACGAGTAGAATATTCAACGCTTGCCCGATAGATATGTTTTCATAGTCTCTACAATAGTATCATAGTGGCATAAGCCTACAAATTGATTTATTCAGGCGAACGATTCATGAAAACAAGGACATACAGAAATAATGCGGGTATTTATCGCTGGAGTTGAAAAAGAAGAATTCAGTAGTTTTCAGTAAAAGGGTTCTGTTGTTTGGATTGCAAGTTTATATTATTTTGCGATTTTCGTATTATGACTGAGCATTCTATGGGTCGAGCTTCCTCTTATTTGGTTTTTGATATTTATCTCGAACGATTCTGTTTGCAAAAATCTATGATACTAAGCTTTTCTGAGAAAGAAGTTATTGCAGGTCTTATTGAAAATTCAATAACAGTAGAGTGAACGCTCTCTACACGATTATTTCAGAGTTAGGAATAAGTTATCATAATAATGATGAAGCCAAAGCATGTGCTCAATGATAGAGAACAAATGATAGTATAAGAAAAAACGGCATTAGAAATCGCCATTTGTTTTGCTCTAGGTTAGGTTTGGAATTTTATGGCATCGTTTAAAGTAATCCGTTAGCATTATTTGTTACCAAAGATGTTTCAATTATGAGTTTGCATAGATGATTATGATACGAGGAAAAATAAAGTCTTAAATCTCATGTCAAGTTGAAAAAATGCTCATATTATTGAATATTCTTTGTCTTTTATTTTTTGAGTATATCATAACAAGACAAATATATAGCATAGAACATATTCATTTTGTAGTTGTATCGAAATCTATACATCTAAGCCGAGTTGAGAGCAGGGAATAAAAGAGGAGACAAATAAGCGACGATAGATATTTCTAATATTATACGTTACTACGTTTAGTACAATTTATATCTATGATATGTTTAGATTTTCAAATAATAGACAGGATGACAGAGCTTGGCAAAAAGCTGTTGGCTTGTAATTTAAAGAATATTTACTTTAGAAACAATATAGGGCTGCTTCAAGATTGCTAACTTTGGCTTTGCCATCGGTTACTGACACTATGGCGCATATATCCGTTTCTTACTTTTTGATTTGAGTCAAAACAAAATACATTGAAGGGGGTGAGTCTATTATAGGTTGCACTTCAATTCATACCATTAGTGTGGTATTTATTCGGTAACAGTATGGCACTTCTTTTGAAAACAATTATTTTGATACAGTTATATATGCAGGCTTAATTTTAGTAGTACGTATAAAGTATATGCACGATAAGTGTTGCAGTATTAATTTCAATCAGTTTGACCGACTACGTACAAACGAAGAAATAAAGAAAGTTGTTTTAAGTGGTCAAATGGTACAATAGACATTCGGATTACCTATATATTAACATTGTTATTACTATTTTCTACTAGTTAGTCTTCTAAATTTATCACAAAAAGATAACTTACACTAACTATCATTTTTATAAATTTTTTATTTTATTGAAGTCTAACTTAATGATCCCATGAGCAGTAAATATAATTCCATCTAATATTTATATTTTTTAGATCTATCACAACTTATCACTACACATTAACTAGCTATATATTTCTCGATTAGATATTTGAAATATTTTATTTTCATGTCAATTTTTATTTTCTCATAGTCATAGTCTATTTATCGTATGAAACCTTTTACTACAGCGAGAACGACAGCATGAACTTCTGGGTCCCCCATAGAGTTTATACATAGCATGAAATTACATCGTCATTACTTTATTGTACTATAAGGAGTGAACGCGTTTGCATGGCTATCCTCGGTAAGACAGCTTAAGTAGAAAGAATCAAAAGCTTTTCACATCAGCTTCTTAGCAATCTATGCGCCGTCCTGGTAATAGACGTAACCAATAATGCGAGTTAGTACCGACAAAAATTATGATAATATCATTTATATGTTCAGGGTATCACTCAATAATTTCAATGAAATATTTCTGGTTTGTAATTTTAGAATGTATTACTTTTTCTCGTTTAGATACATTTATTTCTTAAAAATAATAATATAGAGTGTCATAAATATACTTTGCTTTCGTACTTAGCAATCATCATTTTCATTATGCCTCACTCATTAGTGCGCCTCAAATAATTTGAAATCTATATCGTCTTTCAATCGAGCACTTTTCCTTTGGCTTTTACTGCATTTATGTTTTCGATATAGATTTTATTACTTTTACAATCAGATTCACACCACGGATTCCAGCACTACTTCGACAAAGAAAGGTATCTACTCTTTTGTTTCGCGTGTGTTTGCTTCCTCAAATTTTCTCTGAGAAATTGATTCTAGCTAATTTCTACATTATGATTAGAACTGGTCACATCAAACTCAATGACTACAAATCTATTTTAAATTAATATCGCTGTTAAGTAAAAAAAAAGAAATTCAATGCATACATATTATAAATATAGATGATTCAGCAGTTAACTTCAGTTTGTTTTCTACAACAAATTTACTTTTTCGTATTACCTATCAGTCTGTTCATATTTATTACTAAATTTTCTTCTAAATTACTTCCCTCGTTAGATTCACGTGCAGGAAGGGGCAGTTAAATATAGAGTATAATCGCAGTTTAAATTTCTCTATTTAGTTTCAATCATTTGATCATCAACTATTTTTTAAACTGAACTCACGACAGGCAATTGAAAACGAGATGATTCTATGGTTAGATGTATCGGCAACGATAAGATTTCCAGCTCCACTAAAATGCATGCCATAAGCACTGTTCAATGATGATGCGTATATTACAGGCAATCCATAGGTCCAACCTTGTGGCCACTTCACAATTCTGTTATTTCCAGTGTCCAAAATGAACATGTTGCCATATTGATCGAGCAAGACCTGTCTTGGATATGAAAGTTGATATTGCCAAGAACCAGCCACACCGTTTGAGTCTCCAGCCACAGTCAAGCCAGACTTAGCATCTGACGAAGAAATAAAAATTATAGGTGGCAAAAGTAAAAAACAATTCTTACTTGGCGCCCATTTTTGAATTCGATGATTGTTGAAGTCAGCTATGTATACTGTTCCATTCTTTGTTACGTAGATACCCCATGGGTTAGCCAATTGTTTAGGTAACTTACCCATACCGTTTCCACCAGCAACCTAAATTAAATGTGGAGGAAACATCAAAAGATTCAATCCATCACTCGCAGTACATACGAGAAGGCCAACGTCTGTATCATCCGCCATCCAAAGAGTTACACGATGGTTGTTGTGTTCTGATACATAGACATTATTTTCATCATCGACATATAATCCATAGCTCATCGATATCTTGTCTAATGTTGCACCAGCTCTTTTCCCACCGGCTACTGTGTAACCACGCTTATCCCATAGTTTCCACTTTTGAACTCGTGCATTACCAGAATCGGCTATGAACAAGGTTTGATCGCGAGTAACGAAGAAAGCCGTTGGAGAATCAAGTTCATCATTTCCCTTGCCGCCTTTTAACGTGAAACCAGACACGATCGTTCCACTCTTAGATTCTTCAAAAAAAATAATGAACGCCTTTATTTTCGAATACAAGACTCTTACCAGGTGAAAAAAGAATTATTCTATTATTGCCAGTGTCAGCAACATAAACTTCATCATAGCTATCCACAAAAACGCCGTGTGGATTAGAGAGCTCGGATTTTGAGGAACCAGCGCTAGCACTTTCACCTGCTAACGTTGTGTACGTATCATTCCATTCTGGGTATGAACATAGCTGAATTATTGATTTAGCTATTTAATGATAGATAAATGACAATAAAATGAGAGTCTTCAATTTTTTTCTTTACCGGTGGTTGCTGTAGCGGTAGTAGTAGTTGTTGTTGTTGTGTTTCCTTCATTTGGGACTGTTTCTGTTGTTGTGTTTTCTTCATTTGGGACTGTTTCTGTTGTTGCTGTTACAGCTGCAGTAGGAAAACAGAAGAGTTAGCCACTGAAAAACCTAGGTCTGGCACGTAAACAGTATTTATGTACTGAGAAGATTATCATTGTAAGCTTTCCTTCTGCTAAACAGACTAGAAGTAGGGATGGAATAACATAACACTGGGTGAGCTGATCCGTATGTAAACTGATGATCTCAGAGATTGGATCATGTTTTCAAAGAAACTGATGTGATCGAACGCGTTTTCCCTATTTGAATTATCAAAATCGTGACATAATCTAACGCTTTCGTGACTGCACACTTCTTGTGGGAATCAGTCGTACTCTCAGAAAAAGATAGAAAATCTTTCGATGATCTTGATCATATGTGCCAAAGGCACGGGATTGAAAAATCAAGATGTAAAAGTGTATTGCCTCGTGCTTTTCTCCTATCTCTCTGTAATTCGATGTACTTCATGGTATTTCTGTACCTCTCACGTACAGAAATATGCTTTTCCCTCGTTGCAAAAAGAGCCTACCACTTTTATTGATTTCATAAAAATTTCAATTAAGACCAAAATTAGGACTAAAAATATGTAGATAGCTTGGTAGAGCTCGCTCGTCATATAGAAATAAATCAATGGGGTAGATAATTAAGGAAAACCTTGTTGAAATTTCGACGTGCTGCTATCGGAAAATCTTTTTCCAAAGGGGAAACGAGGTACTTCAAGTAGGAAAGTACGTCAAAATAAACTGCTTTCACATATAATCAGAAAGTCAAATTTAGTATATATTAAAACAAATTAAAGCTTCACATCCATTTTTGTGCTTTCTAAGATTGTATTCGCTTTATAATAAGATAAGAAGTAATAACTCGTCGAAATACAATGACTGCTTAATATTTTGATAGCGTAGACATCTGCCAAGGAGGCTTTACCTGAACAATTACTTGCGATCAAAAGTAGTAATCCAATATAAAGTATGGCAGCCATGAAGAAGTAAGATTAGTCTTCTTAATCTAGTGTTGAACAATGATTGAATAGGAAGTTGAGTCAAAACCCAATTGACTTCTCTGTTCTCTAATTCACAGTATCAAGCCGAGTAAGCAACTATAAGGGAATCTTCAACGGAAATATTCATTGTCTGTATAGCACGACCGAATACTCATATAAGCTAATCCTCATCGTGAATTGTTAACAAGGAATGATTAAGCAATCTTACGTTTTTTCTGACATAGCACATTCTCTTTACTTTACCAATAGATAGCAAAGTTCAAAATCATGGACACGATCAAGCAACAGAAAATGACACCAATGTATTTTTTATTTTATACAAGATAAATTTCAATACTGTTTCATGCCCAATTTTTGCATCCTTTACTTTTAATGACGCTTCATAGAAGGAGCATTCTACCTAGATATAGTTGTCTGCCGCATTGTAGGTCTTACGGGAAAGACGTAGCAGAGATTTTTATACCTCAGTCTCGTAAAGTATATTGAAGTCATTGAATAGAGAAAACATAAAGTAAGCTCTCTTCGTACAACCTACACTGGTTGAGAAGGATTTTCTAGTGTTTAGATCACTGTAACCATGTACGTATATAAGAATCGAAAAACGATGAATGTCTGTATCTTTGAGCAATCAACTATAATACCATTTGAGATCCAGTGATACAAAATGCCGCTCTTAGTATCGTCTGCATATCTATACAATCTTTGCAAGTCTTTTGATTACGTGAAGCGATCTGTAAACGCATAGTTGTTTCTTATGTTGCTAAGAACATGTTTTCCGAAATAGCTTTTTCGGTTTTGATAATCACAAAAGTTTCTAAAATTTCGACCAAAAGGTTAAACAAAAATATTCCATTGCTCTTCTTTTATTGGCGAAAGCTGTAGAAATTCCGCATGAAACTACTATCACTAGAAATTATATTTAATACATGAAAAAAAACGTTCATTTTTATTCTTCTTAATATCCTGAGTATATGATTATAAAGTAAACGAAGTTTTGAAGTTCTGTGAATACTACAAGATAGATTCCATTACCAATTTCGATTGTCTACTAGTTATCTTGAAGCCTTCAACGATTTCCAAAGTTTATAAAAAAAAGGTTTGCACATATTTCCCAAACACAATGTAGAATGTAGCATCTTATAAAAAAACCAAGGCATGGTTGGTACTTCAATTTTCTTTTTCGATCTTTACTTCTTTTTAAGCGAACCATATTTAAAACGAGTAGTTTTCCAGTTTAATTAGATATTCTCTTAAATCAATATTTACTTTAATCAAAACACATCAAAACAAACGTTACTTTCATTAGAATGCAGATTTATTTAAGAGGTTTTCTTCATTGAATTACAGTTTTGATAAAGCTCAATTTATTGACTCACGCTGACACATAGAGCACTGTGGACACACTTTAGTTCTATTTCACTTGTAGCAGGTTTACAGAAATATGATTCGCAATGGAAAATCAACAATACAACGCGTGATGTTTTAATTGTTTGCTGTATGAAAAAGTCATGCGATAAATGTTGAACACCGTAATATTATCTTGATCATGCTTTCGTTCTTTTCTTTTTCTTTAAAATCATACTATTTAAATGAAATCAAGTTATGTAGCAACACTATCTCGCCCACGTAAAAATAATTCAAGCAGAAGTGCTTCATACAGCGGCTTTCTGTACGTGCGCTCACAGAACAGAAAGCCATGGTGTCTACATTATCAACCACGGTCTGCGAAACAGAAGACAACCAGTCATTCGATAAACCGCGTTGTTAACAGGATACATCGCTAGCGGCAAAACTTATGCAAACTCTTCATGTGCTAAGCCCCTCTCAAGACACCATCGACGACAGTATCATAGGTGAATATGAGTTCAGAAGTAGTCTTTATATTGGGCACCTATAGCTAGACAGAAATTTTTCTTTTCATTTGTTGATGTTTTTCATACATATTTTCAATACGGCTATCACAGATGCTGCTGATTTTGAATGAAGCTATTTCAATAACAGATTGAAAATTTTTAACGCGAAAGAGAATATGGTAGCTGTTTTAATGATTGAAATTGATTTGCTGTTAGAGGTGGCTTGTATTCTAAGCGATTGATTTCACAGATATATGTAACTGATTCATGAAATTTATAAAAAAAAAAAAAAAAAAAAAAAAATAAAACAAAACAAAAAACAACTAATA